CTCACCGAGGTTGCCTTGCGCCTTCTTACTTGCCCGACCTCTTGCCCAGCTCAAATGCCATGGCCATGCCACCCCGATTCTCCAACTCCGACTTCCTCTCTTGCAATCTCTCCCATTCGGAGTCTGTTCTCTCCTCTTCCAAAGTCTCTCTCTTGTAGCGTGCTTGTGACTTCTCCGCTTCTAGCACTTCCTTCCTGTTCGCCATGATCTCAGGTACAGCTCGACGCGCCTTCTCAGCTTCTTCGTTACGCTTAGTGATTGCAGCTTGGATGGTGGACATCTCAGCAATCACGATCGGATCTTGCATGTCGTTCTGTATTCCCTGAGCGCATGCTTGCGCAATGGCGGTATACTCCTGTTGCTCTTCGTCGGCAAGTCCGTCGAGAGCGAGAGATATGTCTTCTTCTTCTTCTTCTGCGAGTGTTTCAATAACCTGATAATGCTTAGCGGTCTCGGAAGAGTGAGTAGCAATGTCCTTGAGAATGCTGATGTACTCATCGACGACTGAGACATCTCCAGGCATGGCGGAGGTAGCGATGAGGTCTTTGGTGGCCTTGGTCGTGAGGTTGTCTTGTGTAGCTACGACGATGTTAGAGTTTGTGTCGGAGTCAGAGTCGGAATCAGAGTCAGAGCCTGAAGATCCGCTTTCGATGACGATGGGCTTGTGCCTACGGCGACCGAGAGCGAAGACGGTAGAGACGGGGGTGGCAGTACTCTTTCCCTTTTTACGGCTTGGCAGGCGCACGTTGGTCGATGGCGTCGAAGGCGGACTCAGCATAACGGTGTCTGCATCTTGCTGTCCATCAGACTCCGGCTCGAACAATGGACTCTGCTCTCGCTCTCCTGATATGTCTTTCATTTCTGACTTCTTGTTACTACCCGTCTTATCCATGGTCGCTCTCTTGCGCTTCGCGACCGTCTTGCTCGGAGTCGCAGGCGGTGGAAGACGTGGGTCGACCTGAGAGAACATGCCATACCTGCCGGTCGTTGCCGCGTTAGGTCGATCGGGATTCATGGCTGCGTAGTGTTGACGGACTCTGTTGGCCTTGGGGTCGATCTTGGCTGGGGGGCTGTTGTCTTCGGATGCCTGGCTTGATGAGTCGCTGATATCCACCACGCGGGCCTTTTGGGCTCGCCTCGGCACAGCTGACATGACGGTGTTAAGTGTTGGGAAGCGGATGTAGGAGGTGGGAGAAGGAAGTGTCACCGAAGGAATATAAGATATTTATATAATTGAGTGGATGGGCCCAGCGCATCTGTGGTGACTGCGAGTCGAGGTGACCTCGAATTACTATTGTTTCTGCAGAGGCAAGATATCAATACAAACCCCAAAGGGCTGACTATATCGCGAGATGAATGGAGTCTGCGTCACCGCGAGAAGCGTTTGCTCCACCATCCTTGCCTTCCAAGGTTACGCCTACGCCACTACCCTCCTGAACGCTACCCACCCACCCACTGTCACAACCTCCGTTTTTCCGAAACATTTACGCCGGGCGTGGTGACCTGTAGAGGCCGGGTCTGGCATTTTGTCACATTTGGGTGCTGCCCGTTTGCGCTTCTTGCTTTTCGCTTCGTTTGCGTCCGGAACGGGTAGGTCCAGAGGATGTTGCGGTACTTCTCGAATAAGTTTACGTGGCCCAGCATCTAGGTCTAGACCTGGAGCTACAGGGCAACTAATCTGCTTGGAAGGTGTAGCTAGATTGGCCTTGGGTACGTTGGCACCTTTGGGTAGTAGTAGAGGAAGAAGAGTGCGAAGAGTTGTCGATTCGTGCGACGGTGCTGCGGTGACCGAAGCGGGCTTTTCCTCTTTCTTGCGACGCTTTGGAGCCTGCTTGACCGCTTTCCTTGTTTTCTTGATGGTGGCAGTAGAAGTAACACTAGGCGCGGCAACAGGCGGTGTGTTCACGTCTCTTATGGGTGTTTGCTCGAGTCGAGGTGCGACTGCCGTTGACAAGTTCAGAGCATGTGGTAGTTTTGCAGGTGAAGAAGCCCTACATGAACCACAATGCGCTGTCGTCTTCTGCGAGGGTTGGACATAGGGCTCTCCAGTCACTTCAGGTCGGTTTTCAGTAGGACACGCTACTGGCCTGACCGCGGAGTCGAGAGGCAGGCAATCTTGGGTGACTCGCGACGCCACTTGACATACTGGAGGGCTCGCCGTCTGCTGCGACGCAGCGGTCTTGCTTTGAGAGTGCAGGGAAGCGCTCTTTGAAACACATGTAGACTTCAGCAGCCGCTGCGGCGGTGTGTTCGGGTTGAGGAGTTGATTCAGGTTCATGGCGACTGATCTTCGAGCTGAATGTGCAATAGGCGAGCGGGTTGTTAAGAAGAATACCCAGCAAGGATGGAAGATAATTTGTATTAAGAATGTATGGGGCTGCATTCAAGCGCCTATATACCGGAATTCGCATAACTAACCAGAGTTCTCGTTATGCTGAGAGCTCAACCATGGTTCGCACACGTGACCGCCCATCACACCCGCTCTTATTAGTCACTCTCCACATCGAGCGTCCTCCGCCTCTTGAACATGTTCCTCACCTCAGCCCTGCGTTCTTCGATCTCGTCTCTCTTCTTCTCCAACTCTGCGCGCTCTCGTTTCCATTTCTCCTGGAAAGCCTCGAAGCGCGCATCCATAACCTCCAATTCGTGATCAACATTGTTGAGGTCCTTCGTCAGAGCATTTTGCTGCATGACCAGCCTGGTGAGGGCGTCGAACTCTTCGTCTTCGGCTGAGCGCTTGGAGTTGCGCGGCGGGGCTGTGGGTGTTGCATCTGCTTCAAGGCTGGCAGATTTGGGAACCGAAGTTGTCGGCAGCGGCTTCTGCGTTGATGTTGCATGAGGGATTGTACGACGTGCGATTGAAGGGGCCGACTTACGCGCAACGCTCTGCGGGAAGCGAGGCGCTTTAGGCGTGGGTTCATTGGCCAGCGTCGACTGGGTGTTCTGCTTCTCTGGGGTGTAGGAGCTTTCGCTACTCTCATCTGCTATACTGTCATCCATTGGTACGGTACCCGATGATTTGAAGGCGCTAGGGCCCATCTGATCAGAGATGTACTCCAGTGCGCAGCGGAGACGCTCGGGGTAGGCCTTGGTTTCGTGTAAAACGCAGTCCGTAGCAATTCCAGCTGCGATAAAATACCACTTGACCATGAGCGTCAACCTGGCTTTGTCAGGTGGGTCGCTTGGACCGGTACTTCTGGGGTAGGTTTTGCTGAAAGGGTGCAAGATGCGCTGCTTCCCTGTAGCTTCGGCGGACATTGACGCGTAGGTACCACGAGCGCTTTCCAGGTAAAATCGGATTTCATGGAAACCCCGCTGCGCTATTCGTACCATGTAGGCATAGATCCTGTGCTCTGTCTTCGCATGGGTTCCGACGAATAATTTCTTCGGTTGGGCTTCTAGGATGTACGTCTGATCCAAGAATTCCATGTCATGAGCATCGGGAATATTCTCCAAGAGTCGCAACGCGCCGCGCTCAGCAAGGTATGACCATAGTAGTTGCAAATCCGGATTTCCGTCCCAGCTCATACCATGTGGGGTATCGTATGTGACGTTGCTCTCAGGTGCGTTTACCAAGCCATTTCGGTTGGCAGACAGCAATCCATTCGGGCTTTCCATGTCTTCCGGCTCTGAGCTTTCCTCCACGGTCTCGCCTGTTTCTCGGGGGTGCTTATAGGTCCCATGGCTTCCATCGGTATTCCCGTAGACCTTTCTCAGCACAGACGATAACCGCCGACTAAAGTCATCGTTCCACGCATCGATTTTGCTTATATGACCTTGCAAAAGGAAGTAGTAACGTATAATCATGCTAAGCATTCGCTTCTTGGTCTTCGTTCCATCTGTGAAGTATTTGAACGGAACGATGAGAGGCTTCGTCATGGCTTCATCTCCGGTGATTGATGGCAGCGTCGAGGTCGCGCGGTCATCGCCAATGGATCTGAGGCAGTAGCGAACCTCCCAACCACCGCCGGATGGCAGCAGATAAGTCAGCACGTTGCGGTTGCCTACGTTTCCGATCAACAGACTTGGGGATTCCGCCTCATCCAGTGCATTTTCAATCCAGGTCAGGGAATCCGCTGGTGGCAGTGCATCCATGCAGGAGTCGGCGCCGGCCTTGGCCATTAGCTTTCGAATTGTTTGGAGGGACATTTTCCGGTTTTTGTGGAAGGTGATAAGTCGCCGAGGATAGCCGTCTGTGTCGCGTTCCAGCGCATCCGATGTCTGGTCAATTGTTTGTCAAGGATCACGGGCCTTGTCGCCAGCAAGTCGCGCGATGATGTTGGCGCGTCTGAGCTACAACGCGTCGCCGGAGGCTTGACCCCCTGCACTCAAGATATATGACAAAGCATGCGGAGAAGTCTGGTGCATACTACTCTGGACTACAGCAAGATATATCGCAATGGACGGGGTATTGATGATAAGGCTAAGAAGATGCAGGTCGCAGGAGCGTTGCTTGTTCCGGGAAGGATCAGGCGGTCCACTGCCGCTAGCGTGAACACGTGCACGTGCACTGGAGTACTCGCGTGCGACACCTTCTATGGTATTCTCGAATGACGTCCTATCTAGTGGTTGTGTATTTACGCGTTTATTGCGACAGCATATGAGGCTCAGGCAGTTGAATTATCATTCCTATCAGCTTTTGGCTATTGAGATAATTATATATACAATTGAGATCTGAAATCTTCCATCGAACAGCACACATAGCTGAGAGTGAGCCATCTATGGTGATACTACCACTGATTCAAAAAGCTCTCTATCGGCTCGCAGTTCGATACCCCTAAAGTGCGGTCTTATGGAGATACTTCCACTAGGTTTACCTTTTTGCTCTTTTTTGCTCCCCAGAATGCGCTTTCACCTTCACTTTGGGGACCAAATGCGGCAATGATGTCACACTGCAAACGCAACTCACCGTGACTTCGAATTGAGATTTACTAGCTCTATTGTTTTTGACCTTTGATCTCAGCTTCTGCCATCCTTTTACCAACTACATACCTTCCGCGATGGCCGCAAGCGCGAAAACACAGCCCCCGGGCGCCTACATCTACGACGAAATCGTCAAGATCGCAGAAGAAAGCTTCCCTGACGCCTACAACGCGCTCCTCGATGTCGACGACATGCCCTGGGAGCGGCCTGACTACGACCGTGTCGGCTTCTCCTCGCACTCCCTCTTCCTCGGTCACATTGTCGTCGACGGCCTCACACACAAAGTCTCGGCATACATGACAAGCGAGGGCAACATCCAGCTCTTCCGCCGCAGCATCAGTCTCTCGCGACGCGATAACGAGCGCCTCGCCCTGACAAGCATTTGGACGCATCTGCAAGAGAATGTCGAGCGCCCGGGTCTGCACAATTTGAAGGCACTGTGCGGATTCTACTTCGTCGCCGCCGGGTATGCAGACGTGGTGAATGCGAAGAAGGGTTGGTTCCAAGATCTGGAAATGGCTTCGAGGAAAGTTGGTCTGGGCCTTGGGGTCCTGGATGATGAGCCTGTGGTTTCGGGACTGGGTGAGGAGGTGGAGAGGAACGTCGGAAAGGCCTTGAGTTCGCACGATGGCGACGTCGAAGACAACGTGGGTTCTGGAGACGAGACGGACGTCACGGTGGGCGCGGTGATGAGGGGCCTGGGTGCTGGGGTCGATGAAGTCAAGGTTGCACACATCCTGCAACGGCTCCTGATCGTAGTCAAGACCAGGCAGGAGAGCTGGGGTGAGCGGATTGAGGCGGAACTGAAGCGGGCTTGGCCAAACTACAAGAAGCACTGGAGATAGGAACACAGCCGGGCTGGGATTTGAGAGATAAGAATACCGCTAGAACGCTAAAAACGACGAGACTACGGAGCTACTGCTGTTGCTCCTTGCACCTTTGCTGCTTGGTCCATTTACTGAACTTGTCCTTCTTCCATCCGCTTTTCCAGGTGAGTGTGACCCTTTCTCCATCGATGTTTAACTTTTGTGGCTCCTTATGTGTCCCAAAGCGTACACTGCTGCTAAGGTGACATTTAGTCGGCGGGTTCTCGTTCCAATTCCTCTGATTAACCGAGGAGTACGACCACTGAACGCAGTATTTGCTGTTGTCGCAGGACTCTTGGCATGCCTCTGGCGACGCTTCTCCGTTCCCAGCGCGATCCGCGTCCTGATGCTCGCCGCCTTGAAAAAGGATGTTCCACCGGTTGTTCGAGGACTCGGAGGATAGGTTGTCCCAGTCATTGCGTGTGTAGTTCAAATCTTCCGGGGTCATGAAGCGATACCACAGATCTGCAAAGCGCAGGGTGGGCTGGTCCGAGGGTCGGTCCTTCTCCAATCTGAGCAGATCGCTGCCGATGTCCGGTGTAATGTGGTGCATCAACAAGATAGGCTCACACCATATGGCAGGCGAGAAAGGCACCGTGCTTGGGTCGAATCCAGAGATGCTGGGCCAGACTGTGGTGAAGGTGATTTTCACCTCGGCCTGCAGCGCGCTGGCGACGAGATCAAACGCTGTCGTGTGGTCCGCGATCTGCTCCCGCCAGTTCTGGATAAAGTCTTTGCGCTTCTTGAACAGCTCCAGCATCACTCCTCGCGAGAGGATGAACGACGTGCCTCCGGCGGCGAAGGGATCGGGGACGCGCGCCGTCGCTGGGGCAGGTGGGTTGCCAAAGAAGTGCTTCGCGTCTGGGTCGTGTTGGCTCAGCCAATCGAGTAGGTTCGGCCTGTTGACGTACGTCTCATCGCCGGCGAAGACATACCAGCTGCGGTCTGGCCTGTACTCCCACGCAGACGCCATTGTCTCCAGTATCTTGTACTTGTCCAGGATCTCCATCTCCCTCTTCTCTTCTTCCGGGTCCTCCTTCTTCAACTTGGCCAAGGGTATGCTCCTTCGCGCATAGTCGACCTGAGCGCGGTATCGCTCCAGCTGCTTCGTCTTCTGTATGAAGTCGGATTTGTAGCGCCAGATGACGTCGAAGACGGGCCATCTTCCGATTTGAGTCTGTAGGTCCGAAAACAGCAGGAGCGTGCCGTGGTCTTGCTCGTTGGTGTTGAGGATGAGAGGCGTGACTTTGTTGTAGACGTCGTTTGCGGTCGTGGTGACGGCGACGACAAGCTGGTCGTGGTCGACCTGGTGCGGGCCGAGGTTGGACTCTTGCTGCGGGCGCTTGCTCGGCGGGAGCTCTTCGTCGTCGTAGGTGCGCGGCCAGCCCTTGACCCAGAAGAAGGCATATATGAGGATGACGCTGAAGACGAGGCGGGCCGGGCGCGGCAGGTGCTTCCGGTAAGACGACATGGTCGCTAGCGTTTGCTGTGTGGCATCTGTCGGATTAGTAGCTAAAGGAGAGTACAGAGATCAAGATCGAAGATGCCCAAAACGTGTTTCACCCCATCGCAATGGCCCGATCCATGTTTGAGAAAAAGCGCGTTGTGAACGTCCGCCCGCATTCAGGGGAGCCTAGGCCCGACCGAGACGCGTGGAACAGGCCTGGTGTGGCGCGGCCTCGTATTGCTGAGGGACACGCGTCGCGGGGGGGATCAGTGTAACATAGCTCTGAGACCACTATCTACAGCATCGACAATACTTTCGCATTCCAAGACGCGAACTACATAGTGCAACGGCGAGAGACGCCGCATGAGGCGTTCCTGCCCTCTTGGCGATGCATCGGAGGAACAGCTGGCAATCTCCGACGATCACCAGATCGCCACTACGACTCCCTGCGTCTACGATCCCTCTCTTCCTCGTCACATTCCATCAGCTCCGGTACTCATCATAGCTTCTGCAGCCCGAACTGGCCATGAGTCTGCGGTCACGATGCGTGTACGGTACGCTCACAGCAGCTGGCCCGTATATCCGATAACGCCGAAGCGAGCACCTTCCCCTCACCTGGACCTGTTGGGCCGTCTCTATAAAGTAAACAGTGGAAGATCTTGTGCAGTCTTGAAGAAAATAAAGTCCCAAGCAGTGATAAATCTGAGACGCGATGCAGCAGGTGGTGATCATATGGAAGAAACCGATGCTGACCTCGTAGCCACTCACCTCGATCAGGCAAACCATCAAGCAGATGTATACGTCCGCCTGCGTCAATACCATCTATCAGGGAAAGCAAATGCCAAAGTGGCCAGAAAGTCACTCAATGGTGCGACCGCTTGACCGGTTGCTGTTTTCCGCGGCAGGCACACAGTATCTGCTTGCTGTGGAAGTGTCAGTGTTTACTCGACGATCCACTCCCATGTAGCAAACCGCGAGCCAATCTTCAAGGTGGTTATAAGCCCCCCAACCAGGCATTTCCAGGCATTTCTCTCGTGGGCCACACAGTTATACTAAAAGGGGGTTGAGTACTGGGTTATTCATTGACCTCCCTGCGATTTCACTACCTTGAACCATTGGCGGCCTTCGATCTAATATGGTGTGACACAGCGATTAGTTGCGCGTATTGCCCAATTGCAGATTGGAACATCGCGCCACGCAAGTAAGCATAGTTGTTAATGTCACGCTCTCCTTTATATAACAACCTCTCGAAACAATTCAACTAGATCTTCAACCCGGGCCATCTGTCAGTTCCTCGAGTCTACTCAAGATGTCAGACCAGAACCCGGAGTCGACAAATTGCCAAGAGGGGCGTCCAGAATGGCAGGAGGAAGGGTTCAGTTCCCATCAAGAATGGCAAGACTGGCGAAACGAATATCTGGCAACCGATAATGCCTACGACACCCAGGCGGAAGACCCATCCCCTGATGACAGCGATGAAGATGAGGGCTTTGACGAGGAGTTCGTCAGCGAGCAAGGATCACAGAACGAAGAGGACGACGACGAAGAATCGGAAAATGGTGAGCCTGAAGGAAACGTCGAGCCCGAAGACGGCAGCAACCCCGACAAACATTCCAAGGCTACAGACAACGGCGCGCCTGGAGCAAACAACACTCCGAATGTCGACGAAGCTGAGCTCACTTCTATATACGGCTTCGGTAAGTAATCGAATAACCTCTGCAAGACGCGATCTAACGCAGTAGGTAGCGCACGACAAGAACAAAGACTATGCCCTCGTTGAGCAGTCGGCTCGTGGAGCCCTCAACGCTATCACCATAGCCCTGCAAGATATCATTAACAAGAGCCAAGCGCGACAAGGTGATCCACAGAGTCTTGCGAAAGAGATCGAGAGCGCCTTTGCCACGACTTTACCTACGTATCTAAGCGTCCAAGCAGTGCTCCAAGGTGGACAACAAGTCAGTATCTTCTCACAGATGGATATGAGAGCACCCAGCTGACTGAATCCAAAGGCTATTTGGCGGCCATCTCCCCTCAGCATCTTTCCTTCACAAAGTAATCAGCCATTGATCGGAACCTCTACCGCCGTGTCTGTTCCACCCTCTCCGCCTCCGCCGCCACCGTCAACGACCAGCGGTCTCGTATCCTCCGCCCCGCAAAGAAATGTACGTTGCATCTTTTGATATCATCCGCGCTACGCTAACATTGTATAGGACGTCAGCGCTTCTCAAGAAAACGAAGACGTGAACAGCGACAATGAGGAGGAATTGAAAGAGACTACAACACCACATCTCGACTAGAGCGACTCGGGTCTATATAAATACACAAGTTGATTCATGTAAGAGGCATGGCGATGGAAGCGCTAGGTGTAGCCTGCTGAAGACAGTTGTACATAATGAAGAAGTCATGTTGGGTCAAGCTTGAGCTTCCAAGACAGATCGAGGATGCGATATAAATACACAGTGTACGGGTGTCGCGGTTCCTTCGTAAGTGCATGGCTGTGAAAGAGGGTCTGTATGTAGGCCTGATTTGGACGAGCACTTTTCACCGGCAGAGAGACTTTCGTCACCGTTCACTCGACTTTCTCATACATCGTTAAGTCTCTCGCGATCTCAACACCCTGCATCCTCTTCAACCCCAACGCCGCCAGAACCTCTTCTCCTCAACATCACCATGACTCGTGCCACAGCGGCTACTGATGCTGACATCAATGTCACAGGTCTAGGTCAAGGCCCCGTGGCACTTCCAATCCGAGCGCCTTCGCTCGCCGTTTCGTCTCCGCTTTCGCCTGCTCAGGCAAATCCCATCAAACACTACGGCAGGGATGCGAAAACCTTCAAAGCCGCCGACCTCCGCTTCGATGACGGCTCGTTCAACAAGCCTGGCACAAAGGCCTACTACAAGAGCTTTGGGTTCCGCGAGAAGACCAAAAGCATCAACGATCAGAAGATGACCGGAGAGAGGAACGAGAAGCAGTCACTCGTCATGATCTTCAGCAGAAATGCTGTCAGGCGATCTGCCCTGACGGGGTCTGTCGCAAACAGAGCTCGGAAGCTGAGTAAGAGGCAGTAAGTGTGCTATTTTGATCCAACTGAGTGAGTCTAATATCTCCATAGGAAGTTCATGCGCAAGGTCAACAACGACGAAAAGTTCTTCAAGTGGGATTGAGTACCTGCAAAAGAAGCGGAGTAGGGAAAGAGACACTGGGTCCGACTTCCGCTCTGGGAACGAGGCCTGACGTCATGAAAGACCTGAGAAGTGGCTATCGGGCGGCGAGTGTCGATGTCTGTTCTTGCCCTGTTCTGCGACGATGGCCGAACATAAGAACCGTCACTGCTCTCATGCTCATATCCTACTACTGCGCGTTTGTTTTGCAGTCACGTTCATCAAGAATCGCACGCGATCACACAGCAGTATCACTCAGATTATGGACCCTATAAAGTCTTGTTGCCTAGCTGTGTGTCATAACCTACGCCTACTAACACCCTTCTCTTTCTCTTCCACTCCCAAGATTGCTCTGCTATACTACATCCCTAATGCCTAAAGCATTCAGCGTCCCACATGATTCAGGTGGTCGCCGTACTCCGCCAAATCCCCCACCGACCAGGAAAACCGGCCTCTCTATGAGCGACTTCCAGTATCAAGGTCCTCTAGAAGACGACCCTGTTACCACCATAGCCCGTGGTCTCCGCGAGAAACGACTGCGATTCACCAAAAAGATACCGAACGATCACGACAGCGATATCTGCTCACCAAGAGACCGTCGCAGTGCCCTTTCCGTATTCGACGAAGCCATCGAAAAGATCTGCGAAGGCAACCGCCTGGAAGTAACTACGGAGGCCGACTACAAGATCAGGGTGATCTTAGGGATCACCAAAGCGCAACCCTCTGCTTCTGTGTTCCAGAACAAGCAACAACTCTCGCCCATAGATCCCCAGTATGCAGAGCCACGCATCGAATGGCACGACGATCCATACAGCTATCACTCAACTTGGAGGTTGCAGCATTGGCGCAAAGACGGCTGGCCTGATTCGTTTCCTGAGAGGGCCATCCAGAAAGAACGAACTATGCAAGGGGAGCCGAGGTCTTGGAAAGATCAAGACTGGGCTGAGCCTGGAGGACTTAGTTGAGCATCGGTTATCGTGGCGGGAATGATCATGATTGAGAGTTACAAGCAGCGGAGGTAGCCATCCAGGACCTGAACTTGCTGGAGAATCATATAGGTATAAACAGGTCCTATGTATTGGAACTGGATGAGAGTCTGACGTTGTGTTGAGATGCACTCGTAGACTCTCTTGAATCCTGATTCCGACAATGCCTTCAATTTCTAGTAAGCTTTAATGTGACTGAGCTTATACCGGACAGCTAACCTATCTTCTCAAGCTATTTCACACCCATTGTTGCCCTAGGGTGTAGCACTGTGCGGTCACAGAGTAGGTACGCATGTGAATGAATCCCCATATCAATCGTCCTGAAAAGCCTAGAGTCCATGGTTTAATCTCTTGTTTCTCAGTAAAAACGCACAACTACTGACCAAACATGCCCCGTCTAATAGAAGGTACTTCGCTATGGCGAGCGATAAAAGAAAGGGCAAATGATCAGACCGAACCAGGCCATCCGAATTCGACATCGGTAGTAGAGGTGGCTCCTGCTGAAGAACAGACCGCTCTACCCGAACGACAGGATGCCAATCCTTCAAGTACTTCTACAACCCATATCTCACAGCGTGTTACAAGATCCAAGAGCCACCATAGTGGAACTTCTGCATGGGTTCGCCGTACTACACGTAATGTGAACGAGGTTTCTACGGATCAAGTTCTTACCGAAGAGGAGCAGCTGGAAGCCGCTCTGGCCGAGTCTTTGGCACAAGCGTCCGCGAGGCCCGCCCAGGAAGGCCCAGTAAAGCAGACACGGAAGAGGCCCTCAAAGTCCAGGGGTCTCCTGACTTCGCAGAAAGCGCAGGAAGCATTACCTCGACTCCATGGACAACACACTGCTCTGAAGCTGCCAAGACTAAGAATTACAAACGACAGAATATTGGTTGTAAGGGAAGTAGACAGCCTAGCGCAATCGCTGGATACTGACGAACCATTGGATGCTTTCGATCTTGAGCAAGCTAAGGACCTCGAACGTCAACGGCAACTCCTATATTTAGCAAAGCTCGAACGGCAGGAAGGCTACATACCCCCTGTTCAAGGTGAGCAAGAAAGCGCCATGCGCAGCACGCTTGTTCACGATGTGGATAACGATGACTTCACTGCTGCATTCATCCTAAGGGAGATGGCAAACAGTGACATCACTGCTGATCCTGAGAGCATGGACTTTGTCCAGAGGCTCATGAATCCGTCCGCTTCTGGAAGGACTTTGGAGTCGACCCACTCGGCTAATAAAGAGAACACGCGCGAGGATCCACCCCTTCGTCGTTCGACACGAAATAAGACTTCCGCTGCTCCCGGAAGTAAAGATTTGTGCTCAAAGACCATCGAATCTGAGCAACCAGCACCTGAGCCCTTGAAACTGGATGAGGGCGAAGGTTTCATGCCATCCGCGGAAAATGACTTCAAGTTTAAGTACGACAGCCCTTCCGGACTTCAAGCTAAAGAACTTGACGCACTTCTGAAGCCTCCGAGTCGTCCTAAGGCCTTTCCGGCTGATCTTGCTGGTGAGAAGACTTTCGGCCATAAGAGCTACAAAGGTTTTGGTAGTAGGCCGAAGGAGAATGCTGCAAACGATAGGGTCAGAGAAATGGAACTCGAACATGCGCGAACACAGCAAGACGTAGAGATGGCTATGGAGCAAGAGGATATGTGGAGCGAGTTTTGGGGTGTTGATGAATGGAAGGAGTAGACCTTTCTCGAAGACGAGAAGATGCCCAAATCCTGCTAGGGAAATCTTTTGTGCACATACCTTCTTAAACCTAGTAAGCAGTGACTCAATTCACGCATTGCAAATCAGGCGGCCATCCACTACAGACATTCTAGAATCAATTGCTCATTCACGTTGATTTTAGTGATCTGCCTAACTGTGGCGGGAATATAGCCCGTCGTAAGCCGAGACAGACTTTGTGATATAGTGGCTTGAACAGCCGTATTCTCTCCACTACTTTGACTCGGCTAGCCCTCAATGAACCATAGAACTCTTCCATTCAATCTACAAAGCTGTCGAGATGTCGGATAATCCACCAAATACTCCCACTGTCACGATCTCAAATCGCTGTCAGCAAGACACCGCTGCTACTACCAGGCCTCGTCAAAGTTTGAGTCGCATGGGATGGGTTGATCACCGCATTGGTAGGCCTGATCGAACAGACGAACGTCACACCGAGCAAGAGCAAGAGGCAGCGAGGACCATGCTAACATTGAGACGATTGGTTTTGTTCCCTACAAAGGCTCATGCAACAGACATCCTCCTCAATATGAGCGGGCCTGTTATAATCCATGACAGCGACGGTGAGCGGACGATTACTGCAGGACCAACCCCGGATACGACATCAACGCGCCACGATATAACATCTGCGAGTATTGCTAAAATAGTCTGTTAGTTTGTAAACAGGTACTAAAGGAGAGTACAGCTTTAGCTTATATTTTATGCTAGGTTACTTAGAGTTCTCTAGCAGTATAATACTACTTGTTTATTTACTCTACATACTACTTAAATGTTAAGGTAAAACCTTAATAAGTAGTAAGCTACTTATGTTGTTGTTGTTATTACTGTTATTATAGTTATTATAGTTAAATACTATCTCTCTACGCACCTACTACTATATTATACTCTAGGTAGAAAGTCTTATTACTCTTATTCTTCTTAAACACCTTATAACTATTTCTACTAACACTCTAGTACTATAGCTTTCTTATTAGATAGTCTGCAGAGAGATAGTTATTACACTAAATGTACACGTTAACGCTAAAAGCTGCGTAGTAGGCTAATAGTACCTAGTTATAAGAGTAGGTAGAAGCTTTACACTTAAAGTATAGGTTCTAGGTATTACCTTAAGACGCTATATACCTAGTGTTAGTATACTAACCTAGGTTCTAGAAAACTAGGCCTAAGATAAGTATAATAAGTAGCTGTAGTAGTGCAAAACTATATCTATAGCCTAGACTAGCGTTGCTTAGAATAGAGGCAGTAGAATGTAGGTTATTAGATAGGCAAATAGGCTTAGACGCTAAGATTAGGATCTCTATCTTACCTGCGCGACTTAGAGTACTACCTAGAAAGCTTAAAGAAAACTAGAGTTGTAAAAAAAAGTTATTATTATTCTTATTAATAGGCATAACTATCTTCTATTAAAGGCGCTTAGAAGCGTTAGTTACCTATATAATAGTAATCTTACTGCTATTTAACTTAAGGTAGTTAAAATTAAAAAGCTCTTTAAATATAATACTAGGTAGTAACTAGACCTGTAAGATAGTAATATAAGTAAGACTAGGCAAGAAGTTCTTCTTTTTTCTAGAATTTAACACTATATAATTAATAGAGATACCTTAGCTCTTATAAATAGTAATAGTATATATAATAGTTATTAGAAACTACATGCAAGTGTAATAGATAGTAGCCTTAACCTAATTGCGCTTAATACAAAAGACAGAGATAAGAAAACGCCTACTCTTAGAATCTTTTACTAAGTAAGAGGCGTTATCTTAGTTATAATTATTAAAGTTAATAAGTAGAGCTATAGAAGAGTTCTTTATTAAATTAGCGCTATCTTTCTATATAACGTTTTAAATAGTATCTATTAAGCTATTAAATAATTAACACTCTATTTATAGATTATTATAAAGTATAATATAGGCGTTAATAGAAATAGAGATATTCTTATAAAGATTTCTAGCCTTATTAGTGTTAGTATTCTCTATAGTAGTACTACTTATATAAGACGCGTTAATAAGTAAGACTAGGTGCTTAAGCTATTAAAGATAGTAGTAATTAAATGCCTTAACATTATTCTTAAGAGAATAGATATAGATAGCGTCTTTAAATAAAGCTACTTTATCTAGACTAAGCTTATTCTAGATATAAGTTATTAAAAGAGTCTAATCTTACAGCGTAGCCTTACTAATATAGAGGTTATTAAGCGCGTAACAAAACTTCTAAGACTTAGTATTCTTACTCTATTATTGCTTTACTACGTTAAGAGTAATAGTCTAATTAAAGAGATAATACAGCGCTTAACCTAATAGTTAATTAGAGTTCTACGTTCTTATAGTATTAAATAGACTCTTCTCTATAACTAGTAGTAACTAGTAGAAGTTACTAACTAAGATAATATTAACACTAGTAAATAGTAAGTCTTAGTTATAGAGTAAGATCTTATATAACTACTTTAAAATCTACGTTAGATATTATAAGAAGACTATAGACTTCTTATTAATAATAAGATAGTAGAGATAGTAGAGCTTATCTTAAAGAAAGCAAAGATTACCTAGAGATAGAGACTAGTAGGTCTTATTCTTAACTAGTAATTAGAGAAGAGAGTAAAGTGTACTACTACTAAAGTTATAAGTAGCTACACTAGTAGAAGCTACACAGAGAATTATAGATAGCGTACTAGCTTTCTTTGTTATACGCTTAACTTTAGCGCATATTAATATAATAATAGTAGTCTTACTAGTGCCTACTTTACTATTAATATAAAGAAGCAACTACTCTTCTATAAGTATAGTGCCTACACTATTAAAGTAATTAATAAAAGTGTTCTATAGCAACTTCTATTTAACCTTAAGTAGATAGTATAGAGTAATTTTACTAATATTACGTAAAGTTACTAGGTTATTAGCCTTTTGTATCTTCTACTAGTTATCTCTAAGATTAGAATATATATCTACGCGCTTACTCTAGTTAACACAGTCTTCTAGATAATAGCTAAGTATATTAAATACGTCTATATTATTACTAGCGTAGTTAGGTAAGTAGTAGGTAAGCTTACTCTACTCTGCATCTATATTATTTAGTGTATTCTTATCTAGATTAGGCTAAGTATCTTTATAAATAGATTTCTCTAGTTTAGGTAATAGATTATTAAAACTATTATTTAGGTAGTAGTAGTAAGTCTTACACTCTTTATAGGCCTTATAAAAGGTTATATATAGCTTATTACTATTATAAATAGCTTAGATAAGCTTAAGGTTATCTAGTTTATAGAAGAGGTAATAAAGCATTAGCTTTGCTCTTATATAGTCTTCTATATCTTTCTATAAGTAATAAAAGAAGTAATTAAGAATATAATTATAGCTATAGAGGTAAACGTTATAAAGCGCATAATACTTATATAACTATAGAAAGGTAAAGAAGCTAATATTCTTAAAATTAACTAGACGCTGCATGTAATACTCTAAGATAGAAAGACTATAGTAAGCTTTACCTTCTTTAATTTAGTATAGATAGGCATACTAATTAGAATAATAGAGATTAACTATAAGAAACTTCTGCAAGCCTTAAGAGAGCTTTAGACCTAGCAATATATAGTAGACCTTCTAAGAAGAGTAGTTACGCTTACTAATAAGCTTATTTATTAGTTTAGTAACTATAGACTAGTAGAGGTAACTCTTATTAATAAAAGAGATAATAAGCTTAGCTATCTCTTAATAAGACATAGACGCTTTCTTCTACTTTATAGTATACTTAACAATATACTTAATTATAGCTGCTATACTAGTGTAGAGAGAAATATTAGTATTTACTTACTACGCTATAGTAGCTAGCTAGTTATACTTATTAAGGTAACTATTATTGCGAGTAGAAAAGAACTACTTATATAACTATATAGAATACTAGTCTACTTTAGCTTTATTACAAAGCTTATCTAGTAATAGAAACTAACACTTATCTACGCTAGTTGCCTTATTCTTATAGAGATAGTATACCTTTATACACTTATAACCTTAGACGTAATTTATAGTAGAAGAGAGTGTTAACATCTTATTCTTAAGCTTAATACCTAGAGCCTAGATAGTAGAATTCTCTATAGCTAGATAAGTGCTAGAATCTAGCTCTAGGTTAATAGTAGTAATATATATACTCTAGAACTTAGTAAAGACTTTACGTGCTTTCTCGCTTAAGTTAAGACTAGCAGCATCTAGCGCACTATTAGACTACTAGAGACTATAGTTATAGATACTGCCTTAAGCTTACTATTTAAAGTAATTTTAAAAGTCTACTATATTAAACTTATTATAAAGCACTTTGTCGCTAAAGACCTAAAAACGCTAATAGAAGTAGTATACTATAATGTAAGAATTATTACGTAAGTTCTTGTAAGTAATATAAATACGTATATTACTTAGAGCTACTTTCTACTCTTTGTATTATAGTATATATTATATAAAACTATTCTAGTAAAGGTTAGTAGCACTAAAGGTAAGAAATAGACTTAGGTAACTAAGTATGTAGACTATAGCTTCTACTATCTTTATTTATCTAGTCTAGTAAGGTTAGGTTCTATATAAGCTTATAGTATAACGCGTAATTTAATTAAGTATCTAGTGTAACTTATTAGAATTATTAGTAAAGACGTTACGTAGATTATCTAGTAAGAGATCTTTATTCTATAGGTTAAGCTTCTTTATAAAGAACCTAGCTTTATTATTAATTTAGTAGCGTATAATAGTATTAAACGTAATATAGTAGAATTAAGAATACTAGATAAAGCGTATATCTTTATATAGTATTAAGTAGCAGATATAGTTAGTAAACTTAATATTCTATGTCTATAGTGTAATGTACTCTACTTTGCTATATAGGTATAAGCTAGAAAAGGTAAGACTAAGTGTAGCCTAGGTGCACTAATACTCTAAGATAGAAGTTTAGTTTAGCGTTAGTAGACTTATTAAGGCGTAACAACGTAG